TCCCTGAGTCCTTCTCCTGCGTTTTGCCTAATGGCGAAGATGTCGTTGACCCTGGCCTCCGCTTTCTTCGCGCCTACATGAGCTGTGACGAATTTATCCGCCATTTCCTCGAACGTTGATATTGCCTTAGCCGGTAGCTGGGAGTACCATGTTAAGGCCCCTCCTGTCAACGTCTCGCCAAACTTCTTCAGCAGTACCGACGGTACCTGTTCTTTCGATAGGTCGTTGCCCTTCACGGCGGGGACGTAGTGGATCAGATGATCCTCGGGATCTGTGGTTCCGTCATATACCCTTAAGTAGGGTGGCATCTTGAAGGTTTTTGGGGTGGAGTGAGGAGCAGCTTCTTCGGTGTATGGTTGTTCAACGAACCTTCCCACGTCGCGTTTTGGTAGCAACTTAGGAGCACCGGGGATCTTGTCGACCCTCTCCTGATGTTCCTTCATCTGACCACGGAGCGCCTTGTTTTCATTTTCCATTTCTTCCATCTTCTTTAGGATGGCTGTTAGCGTGCCATCGTTGGTCTATGTCTCGATGGGTCTGTTATTTACTAGTGTAGCCTCCGGTTCACCCACGGCAGCAGTGGTACCTACCGTTGGTGTACATACGATGTTATTTTGCGGTGACCTCTCAACCAAGCCACTTAGAGTGCTTGTTAGCCATCTTTCCAGTAGCTCTTTGACCGCTGAGGGTGCTTCCGTAGCCGCAGATGTGGAAGCTCCTTTTTCGTGCAAGATCGTCAGGCCTTCGGATGGGGAAGGTGAGATCTCTGCACCTGGTGTGATGCTAGGGGTTGCATTCAGGATGCCACCGTCACTGGCCTCGTTGAGAGGGCCCAGGAGATTGGTAGTGACACCCAATATGGCTTTTGATCTTGTGCTATTTTCTGCCATTTTTCTGTTTTTGTGTAGTGTAGAGAGTGGTAGTTGGTTGATCTCTAGGTGGATACTATGATTTTGATTCTCGAAATCCCCACAGACGGCGCCAAATTGTTTGGCTCAAAAGTTAACGATATACTTTGTAAGCGATAAAACAATCAAAAATAGAAAAGGGGTAAATCGTAATCAAATATAATAAGCCTAGAGATGCAAAGATGATAATATTGTTGTAGATCTGATATTGCAAAGTGACAATGTTTACCAATAAGATATTTTCGTTAGAAGTAGAGATATAGAGAGAGAAAGCCAGAAAAATGAGAGAGCTGTATTAGATCAGATCCCCCTTTTACAATGTGGAGGTCTCCTCTATATAATAGGAGACCTTCCTCGAAAGAATCAAAAAGTTACAAAGATAGGTAACGTCTCCCTAGTGTGGACGCTGAGTTCTAAACGATGTCGCTTTTGTCCTCACGGCCGAGTCGTACCCGCTACGTTGGTCGGCGTACACTCATTGGGCGTACCCACTGGCGTAGAGATACTGAGGGTTCAGGCCAATTTGTGCGCACCTTGACTATTCCTCTGAATAACCTCCAGTAGAGACTGGTACGATTCAATTCAACATTTTGTTCATTCGGGTTTGATACCCCAACGAACGTACCAGATAACTCAGCCAACAAGACTTTGTAGATGGAAAGAAATCACCTAGTATTTTCTTGCCTCAGCTAAGATTTGAACAGACCTCATTGTCAGCATTGTAATGTATTTTAATGATGAAAAGTTGATTAGTGTTGCTACTGAACAGAAACCGTCTTTGCAGAATTCATTCGAAGCATAAGTCACAGCCCCAAGTCCATGAAGAAAGGATGAAAATGAGCCCAAATACAAATTAGTCGAAAACGAGGACAAAGAACTCAACAAGCCTAACTACAACATTGATTAGGCAGCCCACAAGCCTCGAGAAGCGCAGGAAGATCATCAGAAGAGGAAGCTGTGCATACAAAAACTAGTCAAGACTCAAAGCGAACTCAGAATAACTAGTCGAAGCCTGGTTGATTCATTGAAGCAAAGAATTACCAAAGTCAGTTGAGCTCATTACAGTCACTCCAAGTATCAAGAATGACTGTATTAAACTCTCCCTTGGGTCATTAAAAGCAGTTCCAACATTCTCTATTGGAACTAGTCGAGTCAATTCCCTCATTAATGGAAGGAGCCGACACATTCAAATTATTGAAGACATTGAGGAAAGATCACAACGGCTAGATTTGCCTTGCCTATGAATTCAGAAGAACTTCTCAAGATCATACACGCAACTTATACCTCGAGCAAGAATTATTCTCTTTCATTTTCTACTAAGCACTGCAATATTGTATTATCAGTGTATCAAAAGAAAAGAAAAAAGTGTTAGTGAAAAGAGATAACTCGTGTCAGGATTTAGAGTTTCTTTGGTGAGCTTGTAAACCAAAGGATTGAACTGAATCACTAGTGGTGAACGAGCAAAACCACAGAAGGTGTAATCGACTCAAATCTGAAAATTAATAAGATAGCATTGTGGTCCAACTCCAAGGTGACTGAATGTAGGTACCACATCGGTACGTGAACCAGTGTAAAAATGGATTGTGTCCTTCGCCATTTAATTTTCTTATTATATCTCCTGATTCATCTAACATTTGTTTTTAAGAAATATTTTCTGTGCAGGTGAAAGTGATCAAACTTAGTCAAATAGAATTTAATTAGTTCACAGTGCACCCCTTCTTGTGTTTTCACTCAAGGTTCTACTCTCCTACTTCATTAATCACCAGGCCACATAATTCATCTGATTGACCCTATACTTACCCTTTCTTGAAAAAAGAATTCATATATGATCGACCCCAACTATTTTGAGACTTAGGCCTAATTATTAATTGACTGATTGATTGATCAACTTTCCTAACACAGTTCAACATCCTTTAATAATGTGGTAAAATGCCCATATTACAGATCTGAACACAGTCACAATCAACCCATATCACATCTTTGGTTTGTTTTGCTTAACCAATTCTAAAACAGATCAAAACCCCAGATATGGCACCAAAATAAATCCCTAAAAGTTATCATTTTGTACCTGCCTACAATCTGTTCTATATAACAAACTATTCTTTGGTGTAATGCCTAAAAGATCCACAAGTAATGAAGCAAACTCAAACATATCCAAGTTTTCTTATAAAACAAACTATTTAGGTAAAAAAAAAAAAACAAATAGTTTTTCTGCACATTAATAACCGCCCCAAAAGCCCAAATTTGCACATAGCGAAGCCAATGTAAATATTATTCTTTTCCAATTTTGTTTTTTGGGTAAAAAAAACAAACTTTTATCAACAAGTAATCATGTATGCCTCAGGCTAAACGGATTTACATAGCAGGAGAAAATATGAGAAAGGATGGATAACTTAACTTTAATTTAAAGGGAAAATTTGAAGAGGAAAAAGAACTTTTTCTGTTATTCCTAATTTACCCTTTAAGTTAATGGGGTTAGCTTTTCTTCTTAAAGGGTGTTAAAGTAAATGGAGGAATATAATTTTGGTTAATTGGTTCTACCTTTTTCCTTTTTGTTTTTTTGTCGACATCTGCCACCGGCGCTACATCTTTCGTCACCGCCTTTTTGCCTCGCCCGTCTCAGGTAATGCGTTGATGAATTTCATCGATGTCTATCTAACGTACGAAAAATTGAACTTTACTCTTCTGTATTGAAGTATATATATAACGTAGACGATAAAACGAAGACAGGTTGACTGAGATGGTTTTGCCATACATATGTAGTCCTCCAAATCACTATTCTGATGAATGTGCTAGAAGTTGACAATGTAACATATAACCTCGCGGATTTAATGTGAACTTAACTAAGAATAAGACATAATAATAAAAATAAAGGGTCCATATAAAATGGCGGAGCTAAAGGTAAGGAAGGGGTTCAATTGAATCCCCTTCGTCCGCAAATTACACTGTGCAAGTAGGGTAAAAACAAATTAGATTCCTAGAAACAATTGAATCCCGTTATTAGGACTCCTAGATCAGTGGTGGTCAGGCTCGTTGCTATGCTTTTCCGGGTAGACCCGAGGCGGTGGCCTCATATGCTGAGATCGTGGTTTGTTATGGTCCATTGCAAGGTATACCCTTGGGCTCTCCCACCTTAATAGCTAGCTTTTGGAGTGTGGTTTTCCCTAGGTTGTATCAATGGTATCAGAGCCACCCACCGCCTTCCGTACCCATCGTGTCATGGATGGTGACGCTGGTATTGCAGTGTTCGCCCGGGACTAGAAAAGTCTAGCGCACAGTCGCCGGGACGGATGTGGAGCGTGGTGGTTTGTTAGGGTCCATTGCAATGTATTGGCTTGGGCTCTCCCACCTTAATAGATAGCTTTTAGGGTGTGGTTCTCCCTAGGTTGTATCTATGGTTTCGGTTTATCATAGAGATGCTTCTGTATTGTTTGATCCAGGGTCTACCTATTTATATGTGTCATCATATTTTGCTCCTTATTTAGATATGCCTCGTGGTTCTCTTGATATTCCTGTTCATGTATGTACACCTAGTGGTGGTTTTATTGTGGTGGATCGTGTATATCGGTCTTGTATGGTTACTATTGGGGTTTACTGCTGCATATAAGTGATACCAACTAGTGGTGATTAGCTCTTTAGTTTATTTTTGTTATTTTTGTCAGGAGTCCTTATAATCTAGTTAGGACTTGTATATCAATGTAGAGAATAAGGACGAGATTCAAAAAAAACTCACTTGTCTTTAAAGTAGTATCAGTTAGTACTAGAATGAAATAATCATGTATATGAACCTAATCAGTTTGGGATTGAGGAGTAGTTGATTGTTTGATTAGTATGTGAGAAATAAAAACAAACTGTACGAAAAATAGCAAAACATGAAATTCATTCAGTATGTTTTAATTATAACTCTTCTTTCTGTTATAAGGATGTTTTAATTTTAACTTCTGCCGCAGAAAGAAGCAATTGCTCAGAAACCTTTTTCTACTTCGTTTTGTTAGGTTTCATTTTGAATGTCTAAAGAGGAAAGAGAAAATTTGTTTTGAAGAAAAGACAAGAAAAGTAATGTTCTTGTAATTGTTTGTTTGACTAAGAAAGAAAAGTTCAAAAGGAAGTAAAATGTTTATGTTATAACTTAAAAATCCTTGTAGAGTTGCCAGGAAAAATGTTGAAAAGCTAGGAAAATGTTGAAAGGGCGGATTGCGCAATATTCCAATTATCCGAAGGCTAGGAAAATGTTGAAAAACTGACTCTTCAATCCAGCTTTTTGGGAATAAATTGCACAGGTTATGATTATGAAACTCTTCTACAGTTATGCCTGTATGGTATAAGATGTGATTCTCTTTTGCGCAGAACTTTCCTTTAGCTGTTTCTATTTGTTCTCGCTTTCTCAAGTCTTTCCCTTGATTGGTATGACCAACTGGAAAATGATTTCTATGCAGAACAGGGCACATTAGTTCACCAGAAAGTTGAGTCAGCGATAGAGTATTTTGTTTGTCTTCCGTTTTGCACCTGTGATGCACTGCTATTGTGTCCTGGAATTTAGAGGGTACTGAACTATCTGAGAGTATCATCCTTCGCCCCGTAATACAACCAGGAATTCAAGGCAGATTGAATTGCATAATAAAATGGTTTTGTACATAGCTTCATCCAAGGTGATGATGAAATACCAAATGATTACCTGAACTCCTGTCTGCAAAGCAGATAAGCATGCTTAAATAATCTGATGGCTTAGATGTAAACTTGATTTGTATAAGCATCTGTCTAATGAGTAATTGTTCTTGATTTTTTTTTATGGATTTTCCCATTCTAAATGTTCAATTAGTGAAGAATCAGCAAGCTGAGTATGATATATACAATAAATCTGATATGGCTCCGAGTTAACTGGTCTTTGGCTCTGGCTCTGTGCAGCGGAGGAGAAACTTACTCATCAGAGACTTCTCCATCTACGACTGAGATTGCAAAATTTAGCCATTGGAAGCCTATAAGCAATTAAGCTTATATTGCCTTCTATTGTTTCTAATACCTCAGCAGTCATTTGGTCTTCTCTTCTGGTCTTGGACAAACACAACCAGGGAAAGGATTTGCATAGAAATTTTCCTCCAATTTTGGTGAATCACCAACAACTCTAGCATTTGGTGCTCCTGTCCTGTTTACATGTAAGCCCCTAACTTGAGTCGCAAATTCTTCCCAAGTTAGCTTCTTGTTGTCCATTTCATCAATAAGTCTGACAAGATTTTTCCTGAAAGAAGTCTAACATGTCAAAGAAAGAACAAAACTATTTACCTATAACACAAGCAAGCAAGAAAATAAATTGTACAAATTGACCGTTGATTTTACGTACTTGTCAGGATTGATGGTTTTCCGAAAGCCTTCAAATAGACGATGACCACGAACAGCTTTGGCCATATTCCCGTCATAGGTGTAGAGGAAAACATCACTGTGAAGAGCTATAATATAGTCTAGTGCAGCAAGCTGATTATGCCTTTGCGTAAAAGGTTCCAACTCTTGCTCTGTTGCCAAATTGGAATGGGAATATATATTTGGATACCTTTCTTGAAGAGCCTTCAATCCATTTTGGCCAAAAATCTCTCCTGCAACTATGCAAATTTTAGTGTTGGATGGATATCCCATTGCCTCGAGAAACAAGGCAGCCTCTCGAGGTGTCATGGGGCACCCCCCTTGTAGCCGCTTTTCTGTTCCATTTATCCTTTTCTCTTTCCAGTGCTTGGTTTTGTACCTTAATTTTCGAAGCTCCTCAGATTCCTTTCTGGTAAGGTTGTGATTGCAGCCTGTGAAAGCCAGCATATCTTTCTCATATCTGTCATGAATGTAACTCTCTAGTTACTAACGAAGATCCATAGTATATATGTACACCCTTACAACTTGTGCTCTTAAAGGTGTCATGACATTTCTATGGCTATAAGAGCTCAGTTAAAGACTTTCCAAAATATAGAAATGTGTCTCTCTTCTTGGAATAAACTAACTAACTAGACAGAAAAGAGTATCATATAAAATGGAAAAGATCGAGGGGTGTGAATTTTCAAGATTCTTGTTTTTGTACCTCAAATGGAGAGCTATATACGGTTCACCATTTTCCCTGAGTCTGTTTACTAACTTTTTTCCAAGTTGTTCAATTTCCTCAGTAAAACGAAGTGCTTCATACATGGCATGGCAGCGGAGTTTTTGGATAAAATCTGGGATGCCATTGTTAGCTAGTCGTGAATCAGTATGAGTGAATTCTATTACTTTGTGTCTCTTCAATAGCTTCAGAATCTCTCTGCTGTAGTAACTGGCCTGCACAAATTAAAACCAACAATTTTTTAGATATATATCAGCCAAGCAGAAACACACCATCCATCCATTAATTTATCTGAAGCGTGCCTTTGACCAAGAAACAGGTGCCTTCATAAGAGGTTTCACATTTGCAAGACTTGGAGGAAGAGACTCCAGTACTTCAATGTCATGTTCCAAAGCTCTTATGAAATGCTTCCGGTTAAATATATCTTTGAATTCACTGTAAAAATATAAAACAGGATCAGTGGTGAGATGCATGCAATTCTCTTTATTTGAGATGCAGTAGAATATTGGAAGTACATTAATTTTTCACCTAGGATCTGTCCAAAAGGATTTGTGATCTAACAAGGGAACAACCAAGCTGGCATTCATTAGTTTTGCTACCGCTACCATATCGCTTATCTGCAACAAAGTTTAGCAAATTAGTAGTTTTCACCGATAGACCAAAGGATTTAAGTTATAAATATTGACAAATGATAGATTTTTTTAACCTACGATAGTAGATTTAGCTTGCATCAAAGTATACGCTTGATTTGTGTATTCATGAAAAATTCATTATGTATGCGGATTAGCTTGGAAAGTTTTAACTTATTTATCCTCTGAATAATTCATGATAAAACTCATAGGCTATAATTTACCACTTTTGAGTTTTTTTCACTTCAAAACTACTACTCATACAGTTGATTTTGCAAAGTGCTTAGGCATGTTTGATTTAATTGATTTTCACTCTCGACTCACGGATATTAGAACTTACGGATAAAAAACACCCAGGTACGGAATATAAATCTAAAATATGAATTTGATTTATATTCACTGTACAAAGAATTTTTAAGAGCTCTAATATGACTGGTTGTAGGCAGCTGCAGGTTATCAATCCTCTTTTCTTGGTCATAATTATGCTCAATGTAGATGGTTAACAATAGTTAATTTAAAACATACATATTGTGTAAAGTATATTACGTATAAGTGGAGAAATATTAAACTGATATAGAAGCACCAATAGCTCAAAAAACAAAACCCTATTAAACTAAAAGCTGGCAATAAAGTCTTACCCCAGTTCTCATTTGGTTTAATCCACCATTTGCATGAACTAGAATATAACCATTGCTGATAGTTTTGTCTCCTGAGGGAGTTTCACAACTTACAGAAATCGCATAAATGAAAAGGTGTAAAATCCAATAAGCAAAGCCAAATTATTTGAGTACTTTTACGTGTACATACTTATCTCTTTACTTGGTCGAGCAATGCATTTATAATACTTATCAGTTCCAGGGTTCGTCCAGATTTCACTATTCTGAGGAGAGACATCGAGCATAATCCATAATGAGTACAATATCATTCACAACATATATATAGATACAATATTAATGTAAAAGATTTCCTCTTTTTTCTTTTATGCATGCATTTGATAGGTGGGGAAAATATAATCATAAATTTGCACCTTTGCATGCATGAGGTCTCGTGCTTCAAGAGAAGTACGTGGAAGTTGCAAGAAATCACGGGAACTCATCGTGGCATTGACTCTAAGAAAGAAGTGTATCAGCATAATCTTCACAAACATGGTTGAAACCATTAATAACATTAATGCTCCAAAAATCCAACGGCCCAGATATCTTCCTGGTCTCATATATCTTATTAGGGAAACCGTTCTAATTCTATGCTGATGATGGCCAAGCTGGTGGTGGTTTTGTGCGGTAAAATCAACTTTTCCATTGCCATTTTCCTCTGCGTATTCGACAAAATCCACTGGTCTCCGACGAGTCTTGATGGTGGCAGCCAACGGGCTGGTACGACAATTTTCACCACCAGGCATTATTAATATATATATATATATATTTATGGGGGGAGGAAAAGAGAGTTAATTATATATCAGAGTGAAAATGTCAGAAGAGAGACATGGAAATGGAGAGGAGAATAAGCTTCTGCATGTTGTTAAGGCCAACATTTCCATGTTGTTTACTCTGCCATTTCCCCACTTTTGGTTGGTTTTTTTCATTTCTTCTCTTTTGTGAGTAATGGCTCCGCTTTATGAGGCAAAGCAACCAATGTTAAAATCAATAAACGGTAATTAAGAATTCATGTTTGAGTAGTGGAGTAAGTAGTTTCTTCTTGCATTATTTTATTTTATTTTATTTTTTGTTTTGCGAGAAAGTAAAAAGGGCACGTAATTTCTTATGAGGAGAAGATGGAAACTTTTAAAAAAAAATCATGTAAAATAGGAAGAGTAAAAAAAAGTGAATACCACCGAGAGCCAAGACATGATAATTAAGAAAATTGAATCCAGATTAGTTTGCCCAAAACTGAGTATGAATACTGGGTGATGAGAATCAAGAAAATCGAACAAAGCCCTCCGATAATTAGAGGTCATCCGTTATTTGAATATATATTAAGATGTTATCTTTGGATTTGAACACTCAATGATTATAATTGTTTGTCTTTCAGTATTTGAATATGTATAATAACAACAACAAATGCAGTGTAATCCCATAAATCGGGTCTGAAAATGGTAGTGTACACGTTGTAGCACCCCGAAAAAATTTTGAAGTACTTAAGCGCTATTAAGAAAGTTGATGTGTGCTAATTATATTATTTCGTGTGCAGACGAGGACTATTAATATGATGGATATTAATTTGGATATGATATAAGTGTACGAGGCATATTATAAGTGATGTGGGGTCTAAGGAGAGCCTAAGTCTAAGCCAAGTTGGAAATTACATGATATACTAAAGTTCCAAATGAGTACGCACAAGACCAAACTTTGAACGAGCATATCTACATGTATATAAGGAGTTATGTGATAGACAACCTATCAAATGAAAGATCTTCGAGTCTAACTCTAACGCTTCAAACCGTTTGTCATTTGGACATTCCTACAAGAAGTTATGACCAAATTACCAGAGGTTGACAGAGGAGTCTACTGATGCGAAGCATCCAAGCCGCGTCCGAAAGAATGGCTGGCAGTGAAGTGCTGCCATAGCATCCAAGGCCACGTCCGAATCCCAGAAATTTGGGCCTATAAATACCAAGTCGGGAGAGAGGGTATTTTGAGTATTGGGGTTAGAGTTCTTGAGGTGAAGGGGCGATTTTAAGCTCAAATCAAGTCCAATCAACCAAGGTAAGTTGTTAATGTCATTTTGGGTTGATTCTTACTCAATATACATGAGTTCTAACATCATTCATGCATCCAAATGCTAGATTTCATCATCAAATCCTCAACAACACTAAAATCACGAAAGTTGTGATTTTTCAAGATTGAGCTACTAGAGGTAATTTCAATGCTTCAAACTCAATTATTATGAGTAGTTAGAAGTATTTGAAGCATTTGTTACAAGTTTTAATGGTTGAAAGATTGGATTATAAAACTCTAGTTCACGGCATGAATAATACTTTTGAGAAAATAAGAGAGAAGATGAATGGTAATCTTGGCGATGATTTATGAATACAATGAACATATGGAATTATTTGTTAGCAAAAGATGAAAGTGATCAACTAAGTAATCACCTGAATTGTATATTTTTCAAGTGTTGATTATGGAAGACGATGAATAGTAACTTAGTGGCAATGGATAATTAATGTAGTATCATTAACGACTTCGAATGGGTATCCAATTTATGAGCCATTTATGGATATTGATGAATATATTAGGTCATATATAATTAGGATATCTAATTGTAGATATCGACATGTTGGTGATGTTGAGCATTTTAATCAACATTAGAATGATGGAGGAGGATTGAACGCTTGTGAATGTTAATAAAGCAAAAGCGAGGTAAGTTGATTAAAACTTACTCTTCTTGAGGGACTTTCCCTAAAAGCATGTTTCGAGTTAATACTTAAGTTGTTGCAAATGTGCTTTCGTTCTTGTGGGGACAAACAAGTACGGATGTCTCCATGTACTAGAATATTATGTTGCATATGTAGTGTCATGTCGTTTTATAAAATTTTATTTTAAATCTTGTTGGCAAAATGACACTCAAGGTAAATGTTATAAGTTTTTATCAAAACATACGTATTTACAAGAGTATATATATTTGAGTGCTAAAGATAAGTTTTCATGAAAATTATTTCTTTTGAAAATTGACGAACAGAATAGCACTTGTGGTATCTTTTAAATATTGATGTTAAATTTCTAAAGGCTTTCGCATGTAAAAGGTTGTTTATTTAATTTTTGTTCAAATGATTTAGATTTTCTATAAATGTTATGAGTTGATAAAAATAATGTCACGACCCGATTCTATTATAGGTCGTGATGGCGCCCAACGCCTTGCTAGGCAAGCCAACAGTGAACAATCTAGTGATTTCCCGATTTAATAAGGTTTCCAAATAAATAAATTTCCTTAACTTAAAAGTTTTAATAAATAACAGGTTTAAAATAATTAAAACGAGAGCAGCTGAGTGCAATTATACCATAGAGATAAAACCGAAACCGCAAGTCTACTAGTGTGTGTGCCAAGACCTAGTGTCACAATTGTATACGCTACTAGTAGAATATAAAAAAGATTACTACTCTACTGTCTGAAATGAAATAGATAAAAAAATATACGCAAAAGAAAGGCTCCAACTGCTGCAGAACGGCTCGGAAGGCAGCTCACCGTGAAGTCTCGAAGTGGTAATCAAGTGTGCGCGCCGGACTAATATCCAGATGCACCTGCCTTCGATCCTGTACATTTAAGTGCAGAAGTGTAGCGTGAGTACATAAACAACATGTAGCCAGTAAGTATCTAGTCTAACCTCGAAGAAGTAGTGACGAGGGGTCGACTTCGACACTTAATATGGCCAACAATATAATAATATAAAATTCTAATTAAACATGATAGATATAAATGACAATAGAACTCAGAGTAAGAAATAAATAAACAATCCTTTCACCATTAGTAAAAGCCGAATCATTTCTCTCATTTAAAATATGTAATTTCTCAGGCCAATGAATTTATATCAAATATAAAGGGACTTCCAGTATTATTATCACGCACGAATTATACCGAAGTCGTACGGCCCGATCCCAATATACATATACATAAACTGTGTGCACTGCCGAGGGTCGAGCGGCACGAACCATAGATGCATCTATTAACCTGCTGAGGCGAATGACCCGATCCCATGAGAGTAGTGGAAAAATTACCCCGCTCGTGGAAAATACTTGCGACGCGGTTGAATATAAATTTCTCAAGTTACCATAATATTCTTACAAGGTTAGAAAAGAGACTTACCTTGCCTCAAAGCCTACTTTTCGGTCCAAGATTGTGCCCAAACTCTCAACTCGGTGCCAAACGACTCAAAACTAGTCAAATAGTATATAAAATAATCAATACATGTTTAAAAGTTCATATCCTAACTATCAAAGTGATTTCCCAAGCCTATTTGAAAAATCCCTAAAATTCACCCCCGGGCCCACGTTCCCGGATTCCAGAAATTTTCGAAGAAAGTTGTTACCCATAACCTCATGAACTCAAATATATGATTTTTACTAAGTTCCATAACAAATTTCGTGGTTAAAAACCCATAATTTTCACTAATTTACATGTGAAAATCTACTCATAATCTATGTATTAAACTCAGATTAGGTAGAATTACTTATCCTCAATATCTAGGTTGAAATACCCCTTTTTGAAGCTCCAAAATCGCCCAAGTGAGTGAAAAATGAGAGAAAAAGGCCTAAGTCCCGTATTTAAAACAAGGTTTCTGCCCAGCTGAATGGCCTTCTTCGCGATCGTGGAAGAAGCCTCGCATTCGCGAAGGCCTAAACTGACTGAGCATCACGAACACGACTGCTCTTTTGTGAACACGAAGAGCAAAGTCAACTGGCCCTCCCCTGCCTTATTTCCCCTACTCGAACGCGAGTGGGGTTCGCGAACGCAAAGGCCTAGGCTCACAAGGCTTCGCGAACGCGTGAGCCTGACCGTGAACGCGAAGGGCAATTTGCCCACTGCCCCAAATCCTTTTGCTCCGCATGTCCTCCTCGGACTCCTAGGTTGCCTCCTCGACTGGTTGGCCCCTCCACTGTACCTTTACCGCGAGAATCCTCTTGGATCTCAACTGGCGAACCTGCCTATCAACTAACTGAATCGTGCTCTCATCTAACTGAATCGTGTTGAAGTCCAACACATGTGACAAGTCGGTATGCTACCTCCAGAGCATAGACATGTGGAAAACCGGATTAACTCCCGATAGACTGGGAGGTAAGGCAAGCTCATAAGCAACCTCCCCAACTCGTCTCAACATCTCAAATGGGCCTATAAACCTTGGGCTCAACTTGCCCTTCTTCCCGAATCTCATAATCCTCTTCATCGGCGAGACTTTCAAGAGAACCTTCTCGCCCACCATAATAAATCACGCGCCTTCTGATCCGCATAACACTTCTACCTGGACTGTGCCGTGCGAAGTCGCTCCTGAATCAACTTTACCTTTTCCAAGGCATCCATCACCAAATCAGTACCATATAACTTAGTCTCGCCGGGCTCAAACCACCCGATGGGAGAACGACATCGCCGACCTTATAAAGCCTCAATTGGGGCCATCTCGATGCTGGACTGATAACTGTTGTTGTAAGCAAACTCAGCCAAGGGTAAGAATCGATCCCACGGCCCTGCAAAGTCAATCACACATGCTCTGAGCATGTCCTCCAAGATCTGAACTGTCCGCTCCGACTGCCGTCGGTCTGTGGATGAAATGCGGTGTTGATCTCTACACGGGTCCCCAACTCACTTTGTACGACTCTCCATAAATGCGAAGTAAACTGAGGGCCTCTATCTGATATGATGGGAACAGGCATACCATGCAACCGAACTATCTCCTAAATATAAATCTGGACCAACCTTTCTGAAGTATATGTAGTCACAACTAGAATGAAGTGTGCCGACTTGGTCAACCTGTCAACAATGACCCAAACTGCATCAAACTTCCGCAAGGTCCGCGGAAACCCAACTACGAGGTAGTAATGCGCTCCTATTTCCACTCT